AAAAATTTATTATAAAAAGTGAGCTATTTGACAAAAGATGAAATAGAAACTTTCAGTATAGTAAATGTTTTATTTCATTCTTTGGTTTTTCTTTAAAATTAATTTAACAAACTATTGCTCTAAATGCATTTGATCACAGAATCACTTTTTTGGAAAGTGATGTCATTTTCATTAACTATGGATGCATTCTCATGGTGTTTTGTCAATACTTATCTATTCATGATAATTAATTATTTAATTCATGATATTTAAAAACGAAAAGTTCCTTCATGGTTTTTCAATTGTTGACCTTTAATGCAGGGGACTCATTGATGTTTATTTTTGTACTATGTACCATTTGTCTTTATATAACCGTTATTGGTCAAGCATAATTTGATAATTTTATCAATTAATGTCTAGAACAAGGTGTAGGTAATAACTCCTGGTAACATATTTTCCTCCATTTAAACTGAACTTAGCAACTGAAGTTTTGTTTTGCTATTCTAAAAATTAATAATATGTTTAGACTAAGAATTTTTAAAGAATAATTTTTTTCTGTGCATAACAAATATTTGATCAAAATTATATGTTTAGAGAGAAATTTTTTTATAAATTTTCGAAAGTACCTTGATTATTTAAAACTTTTATAATTTAAAATTCTATTTAAAAATAAAAAAATTTGAAATTTTTTGAAAAATTTTCTCTCTTAAAGTTATGTTTGTTCTTTTCATATATTTTGTTTCTTTGACATAGTATTAGTGGAAATATCACCAATATAACTTTGATTGAAATATCGTTGCCTTGATCAAATCGTGGGTGTGGATAAATGTTTCTTTTAGATTAAAAACAATAATAATTTTTTTTGTTATCTTTAGAGAACATTAGTTAGAATTTCTTTTTATTGAAAATTGATTAAATTTTTTTATTGATGTCAAATATGATTTTTTTAATATCAAATATTTTGTTTTTTTCAATTAACGACAACAAATATTATTTTCTAGTGATGTAATTTGTGGATATTTTTCGATCAATATGAATCAGAATTTTCTCAATAAATATTGGTAGGATTATTTCAATCAATGTCAGCTAAGTTTTTTCTTTTTTTATCATTGATAGCAAAAATGAGAACTTTTTTGTCAATATAAATTATGATTGATGTTAGTAAGAGTTAATTTTGGTTTATATGAGATTAATCATAGACGTAGATGAGAGCTAATTTTGGCTAACGTATATTAGAGTTTTCTTGATCAATAGGGTGAAACTATTATATAAATTTTAGTTATATTATCGATATTTAATGATGATTAAAATATAATATCCAAGTAAAAATTGAAATTCAACAAAATTTAAATTACCTTATTAATTAAACTATTTTAAAAAATTAATAAATTAAAGTAACAAGAATTCAAACTAAATATATAAAAATTTCTAAAATTGAATTATTATTTTTTTTAATGGAAGCAAGATATATATATATATATATAGATAAATAAATAAAAAGTTGGTGCGTATTTGAATGGGAAATGGTGCAAGAACAAGGCAAGATGATCCATTAAATTGGGCCAGTGGGGTAGCACTCCAATGGTGGTGAAGAATTGGTAGGGCCTCCATGGGGGAGGAAGATGATGAAGTAGGTGAAGAATTTAATTGCTTGCATGAAAAGTGCAACTCTCCTACGCCTTCATCCCTATGCGTTATTTACAACGCATGTTGATCTTGGAAACCAACCTTAATTTCGTGAAGAAACCATAGGACATCTTTCACGTGATTTACAGCTACCAATATGAATGTTTGATGATCCATGAATACCCGTTGTTATTGTTTTCTACAAAGAAAAGATGAGAGTGTTGTCTTAAATATCAGAAATGGATTGAAACTGAATCCAAAAGATAAACTTAAGGAAAAGGATTATTGGAGGGTTGAAAAAGAATGGTGAGTTTATGGAAATAAGAGCCCAGCAGGCACTACTTGTCTATCCCTTTGGCATCTGTAGAGCATAGAGTCGCTATTTTTGTGTCCCTCAAAAGCATTTTGTTTGCTTCGCAAAATAGAAACACAACTGTGTCAACTGTCAAACCCTTGTCCCCACTTTAAATTTGTGTCCCCTCCTATCCTACCCCATTACTATTCCTTTTTCTTCCTCTAATTCACATACCCTTTTAAGGATTTCAAAATAATAAATGTTACTAAGATTTAAGATCAACCATTTCATGTCTTTACTCTCACCAACCACTTGGTAATAACAATAATAATAATAATAATAATAATGCATGAGGTTTTGCAAGTCGACGAATGGAAATAGTGTAACACAGCATAATTTCAATGAATGACAAAAGCAAATGCAAATGATTTGAATTGAAATGAAATAAATAGGAAACATGCTTGAAACCACGAAGCAAGCAGGTCTTATCCGGAGAGTCTGGTAAATAATGTGATGCCTAAAAAAAGTGGGAACATGGTAGGAAAAAACACTCAGAGAATCTCATCAAATGGTCATTTTTCATCACAATATACAAAGACCCCGACGGCACGTTGCCAGAATGTCTTCAGGTTTAAAGTTTCTTGTCTCCATTTTACACCAAATTACTATTCTTTACTTTCTTGTTCGTATATAATTTAACATTATTTAAGTATTGTACCATTTCACTTTAAAATGAAACCGTTTCTATTTTATCTGTCTTTTTCTTTTTTACAAAAGAATCGACTTCTTATATGTCTTTTTACACTTTAAAATGATATTTGTTATTGAAAGAAAAACAGTAATGAAAGTAATGCTGATTTTTTTTTTAAATGTGTTAGTTTTATTTCTTAAATTAGATTATTATTGTAAAACCAGTTCAGGTAATTCAAAAATAAAGAAACCATAAAATATTAATTAAAATTAAGGTAAAAAATAATACTGGTTTTTAATAAACTTAAAAATTTAATTATTGCTCTTAGGACTCATACTCTTCCTTATAAGTACCAGGTCCTAGTTGGGACCGTAAGATTCTTGGTGAATAACCCACGAAAGACAAGAACCCGTTTAAACCACGCTTCGATCCTGAGGGAGACACGTGGATTTGTTGGTGGAGATGTGATTCACGCTCCGCAACAGAGTGTGGAGATTGGTAGAGAGATTTTTGAAAGCCGAGTGGAGTGGCACAGAAAACCTAGTTTGTGTGTTGTAACTAAAACCATTAAGCCTCCATCTTGTGTTAGCAAGTTGTTCTTAGTTGTATCTTTCTCATTACTTTCGCAAATTCTAAGTTTTCAAAACTTCCATTGTTGTTTGGTTTTTCGGTTCGATTTAGGTTGTAAAAACAGTGAAAGTTATAAGCATTGTAACCATAGTATCTTCGCAGTCTCTATCTGGACTGCACATGATATAATTGCCCCATCCATCTTTGTCACATCAGCAATTTTTCATTTTTAATTCAGACATATGTAGCTTTCATGCATAAAATGAAATAATTTAAAAGAAATAAGTATAAAAAATTGACATTTATTTGGAATGGATGGGTTCCTCTAAAACAGAGAAGTTGCATCCTGGATGGTGCACACAGATTTGACAACTTAAATGAGAACCATAATTATAGGTCCGAAATTAAATACTGTGAAAGGGATCAACATAGGTGTATGAGCAAAGCACTTTGGCACGTCCTTTTCTTTCCAATGCATCGCTACAACAGCTATGTCATTCTTTGTTAGAACTACTTTTCAAAATTCTCACATGAAATATTCTAAAACATGGCAATGCCAAAAGGGAGTGGGACTTGAAGATTTGTTGAGCATGGGCCAAATTCACCCGATTCATTATACAATAAACATTGACGGAAAAGGTGTTGACGCTGCCCAAAGAATCATTCCCGAATCAGAATGAAAGTAAAAGAAAAAAAAGGGGTCATAATTTGGAATTGGGTACAAATAATGACTTACTGATAAAAGCCAATAAAGCAACAATGTATGTTGTGCGCATTTCTTTCTTTCCTTTTGGTTGCAACTTTCATCTTAATCACAAAAGAGAAAAACGCTACAACATGGTGAAAACAAAGCCATACAAAATTTACTCATTAGCTTTAATGGTTCTCGGTGAAATCATTAGCTGCCACGAGAAAAGAAGCTTCATATACGTCAGAACTTGCATATATCTTTTCTAACACAAGCAATCAGTACCCTTCACAGCAGTAATTCTTTTTATGTTTCTGCAACACATCAAAGAATGAATAAGAATTTTTTATGGCTTATTTCTACTTTATGATCCATTCACTTTTAGTTATTCCTCACTGAGTTGTTGTAACATTAGTAAACTAAATAAAAACTACATTACCTTATCAATGAGAATTCAGATGCAATTTGCATTTGAACCGGGGAGTGATTAATTGCCAAAAAGATTCATTTTCTGTAGTAGAATCATACCCTGCAGTTGCAACAAATAGGTTTAGGACAAAATAAAATAAAATAATTACAGAGATGCAGAGAAAAGAAAGAAGGCAAAGGACAAAAACCTTAATTGGGACTGAGAGTAACAGAATGTTTACATCACCGTTGGGGCTAGCATTTCCCAGAGTATTACCCACCTACTATACAATTGGGGGGACCAAGCCAAGGATAAGAATAAGACATGCAAGAGATCTCAACCAAAAACTTAATTAGGAAGGAAGGCACAGTCTAACGCAATGCTGTCAAGAAATCTATGAACTAAATATTCCATGAACGTATGCAAACTGAGTGCCAAAACTCTGAAATGAATATAGCCAAGAACAGACAATCTAGTTACTGATTCCAGAAATGGACCCAATGCTGCCAATATAATCAATTGCATAAAACATGCTTCTAGCAAAATGTTCTGTAACTAAAGAAATTGCATCATGTCTTCACTGAATTTTTAAATTGTGAGAAGCATTACTTTGTGGCAAAGTAGAGTTTGATTCTTCAGCAAAAGGAGGGTGACGTTGAAGCAAGACAGAAATTACCTTTGGTACACTTCGTTTCTTCAGTTTCCTCAATTGGGGGTTGATCGACATATTTTATAGCATTCTTTAATAGAAATTCAAATCAGTATAGCTGTAACCATGTGAATGAGGCAACAACTCTTCTACTTCAATCCTTGAACTGGAGCAACTAGAGCATTTTTTTATTCGGTTACGGCTAACAGACTCAACTTCTGCCAGAAACATGCTATACACTGGCCTGTGATCTGAGAATCTTGATTCCCCACGAACATAAGACAATTGGCGGAGGCCTCTACCATACCACAAGATACGATCACACCTTCATGAACAAAAAATGGGATTAGATTCGCATAAACAATTATGTAGTTATATTTTCAGAATAATGCAGGACATTTCTTTTGATAATAGCATTAGTTAATAGTCATTCGTTTCCTCTCTTTTCCGTTGACATTTGCCTCTCTACATGTATCCATTGATACAGGTGCTTGTAAGGCTATTAGGAAAAAAGAAGAGTACCATGCTGGAGTTCTTCTCTTTTGTTTTGAGTGTCTTTCATCGCCTGCATATCTGTCTGAATTGTTTGAATACTTGTATGTGGGAGGAAAATATATTTTCCCCTCGTTCCATCCTTCAAAAACTCGACCTTGTCTCCGCTCTATGTGTAGCTGAAAGAAGAAGCCATCAAATAGTTAGGATGATATAGTTTAAGAAAAGAAGCAACACTCTAACAAGTTGCAAGGGTACAAAGTATCATGCCTGGTCATTCTCCAACAGATCCTTCCAATTATGCATCTCAACAAGAGCTTTTGCTGCACGGTAAGAAAGGGCTATCCGATAATTTAAATCCCCCAGCCAAATTATTCGACTACACCAATTAAACCACAAGTTTAGGTCTTGACCAGGGTAGAAGTTAAGATTTAGGACTGCATTTATTTAGTGTCAAAATCTACAAGCATCAGATGGATAGAAAAGATTCAATGAAAAAAGATGAAGGGCTTACTCATGTTCCAAAATTGTCTCAGGAGAACTCTCATCACCCAGGCCATGAACCCGGGGAAATCTTGTCTTTCTGAGAATCTCCATTACATCTGAATTTCTTCTTACCTCGTCACCCTCCTTTTCTCCAGAAGTCAAATGACTACAGATGAAGCAAAAGCTCGTTTGGTGCAAAGACATGCTAATTGATATTGAACCCTGGAAAACTCAAGGGAATGAGAATGTTGTCTCCAGGTTCTCAATTAGCCTCTACTTATAATGAAAATATATCAAATTCAAACTTACCTTGTTTCCAAGATATCCCATTAATCCTCTGCCAACACAAGACACTTTCATGTTGTGAACATCATCTCTTACATCACTTTTCACCCAAACTGTTAGAAATATCCCAACCATTTGCTTACTGGCAACCAAACAGTATCTTGAGTGCCCTGTCTGTCTATCTCTATCCTCCGTAGAGAAAAAACCTCTATATGTCATTGGTGAATATTGCGTTACAACTGGGGAGTCACCAGGGCCATTTTCATCATCCGAAGAAGCCCATCTATAATTGGGGTCGTAATCACTTGTTCTGTGACCAAATATCATTTTCTCACAGACGCTGTGACGGCGATCAAGGCATGCTTGTGGTAGTGACATGTCATTGTCCATTCTCATACTATGACTCAAGGATTGGAACGATCGGCGATGAAAGAAAGAGGTTGCCTTCTGCCTCATTGATCCCTCAAAATCAGCGTCCAACTCTACAATAGGATCAGGAAGTGGTGAAGTAGTGTGGCATTCACCAGTTGTTCCAGGAAGACTGTTTAGGGTCTTCCGAATAAGAGCTAGCCACTTTCTGGCAGGGCCATTATCTTCTGTGCCCAAAACATTACCAGCATTGAGAGGTACAATTTCTTGAAACCTGAGTGCAAGAAAAGACAAACTATTTCAGACTTGAACTGTACAAGGTGAAAGGAGAGAATACATTATACAAATACAATTAGAATTCTACCCAAGAACATAGATATCAGCAGGAGGAGAAGAGTGAAGCCAATCTTCCAGACTCAAGTAACTTGGAGGAGATTTTCCAGCTACATTCCAAGTAGCAGCAAAGATTCTGTACGCAGGAGAAAAGAAGAACTCAATAGACTAACAATTATCCTGAATCTGACTACAATAAACTGGACATGGGACTCCAATAATTAAGCACAACAAAGCAAAATATGAAGCATACCTATAGTTATTCACATCTGTAACCTGAGCTGCATCAAGGTCAACCTTGCCTCGCCGCATTCTTTCTGAGTGCCTTCTCTTTGCTCTCTCTGCATTAAAATACCACTTATCACTCCGAGAGACATTGTAGGAGACAAGGAAAAAGGAAAACCAACAGTCTTCTGAAGATCTAAGTGCGATTTTAGAATGGTATGGGCACTGAACCTGTTTTGCTTTTCTTGACATTGTATTCCTCCCTCTGTGAACAGTTGCTGCTCCACTCTTCATTAACGCCTGGAAAAAGAAAATTCATAAAGTAAATAAAGTCACTCTTTCCTCTGTAAATTTCACCAAACCACAGAATGAATCAAACGCACAAACCAGAAAAAATTATAACAAAAGGTGGAAAGCAGGGAAGGAGGATAAACAACAAGCTGCAGAGTGCAGATCTTGGGTTGCGAGTTACTGACCCATTCAAACAAAAAACAAAAACGGGTACCCAAAGACAAACCAAATTCCAGAAGAAGAATGAGAATCAAAGTTTATTTAATATTCAGAAAATTGACGAGGCAAGAGAAATCTGAATCAAACAAAACCAACCATCGTCTTTAATTACATTAAAATCATGAGAAAATCGACCACTCACCTGCGTAGAGGATATCGTCCGCGTGAAAGTCCTCATTTTTGCTCTTAATGTTGAACCACTTCTTGACCAACGTCTTGGGCCATGAAAGCTTCATAGAGAACAGAGAGAGTAAGCAATTGTAGAAACAGAACACAAATGCAAGGGAATCTGAAGGAGAAGAGGAGCAGGTGGCATCATTTTTTTAAACCTTGCTTTTCTTCGAGTGCTCATCTCTCATTGTTGGGACAACTTCATAAAGCCTTCTGAGTTAACAACAGAAAACAATCCAATAATAGCCTTTACTTGTTGAAGAGGAGGTAAAGTATAATAATAGTAATAGGACAAGATGAAAAGGCTCAGGACCCTAAGAACATGGGTTTCAGTTTAATTTCTGGTCGTGTTTAAGAGGGAGGAAAAAGACATAATAACAGGTTGGATGATCAAAGTACTCACTTGGGAACTGGTAGTGAAACACAACAAAGTTGGGGGCACTCCTCTGTTTCTTAAGTAACGTTGAGAGAACAGAGGAAATCCCAGTTTGTCACCATTTTAGGAAATGTGGTACAAATGAAAACACTCACTCACATGGTGGTGTTTTAGAAAGGATGAAAATCCAAGGAAAGAAAGAACCAGAGATGGGACAACCCCCTGATACGTTGTTAGAACTATAAGAGACTATGAGGCACAAGAAAAAGAAGACAATGTGCTAGTTTAGTTTGAGAGAGAGAGAGAGAGATTCTGTTTTGCAAAACCAAACCTCGTTATGGGTACAGAGCAAAGTATCGAATTTGAAGGAGAATAAAGTGAGGCAAGCCTCGCTCCCTCTCGAGGCCTTTTACCCCAAATCCAAGGCCAAGCGAAGCTTAGGAAGTTGGAGACAGTAGAGAGAAGTAATGGTTATATTGGTGGTAACACAGACACACACATTCTCTATCCAAAATAAACTAAAAATGTGCATTTTGAGTCTACTAAGTTAAAGTCGTAGGCAGGGTGAATAAAGAGTTAGGTTTGATCATATTATGCCAAGCACCAGCAGTGAGTGGTACTAGCAAGTAACAGTATCACATCACTTCTTACATTTGGTCTTCCAGCAGAGAAAAGCGGTTAAAGGAAGAAAAGTAAAAGGAGGATATGTAGAGGGGCTGCTTTGTTTTCTGTTTAATTTCTCTAGTTTTGTTTATTGTTTGGTGGAATCATTTGCACAAATATTCCTTTTGACTGTGACTCTGTCTATGCATACATACTTAGTCATTGTCCAACTTCAAACCATCCTTTTGGATTTAATTTCCCATTTTGACTAATACATTTCCACTTTTACATCCATATCAAATCTTAACTTTGTTTTCCAATTTTTTTTTTAGTGTAAAAAAGCCTACTACAACTATCATTCACCTTGCCACCCAATGTGAAAAAGAGTGCCCTACTCTACCTCTTTGGGTAAAATAATACATAATTCCAATCACATCTTGTTTTATATATCTTCTATTAATACTAAATTTGATACCATTGTTCTGATATCCATTGTGTTTGGATTGGATATCTAACCCAAAATTTGGAAAGGAGGAACAAACTATTTACTATTTGGATTTCAACATAAATTGTGTTATTATTTAATAAAATTTGTCCAAATAAAATATCACAATTGTTTCTCTCTACCTAATATATATTATAAGCCTTGGTACCTTTGCAAGGTTGGAATCTTGGTGGGATTGTTTGGTGATTGAAAGAAAACAGGGGAAGGAAGTACTTCTGATTAAAAAGCCCCAATTTACAATTTGGTCTCTGATATTGTACGACATACAAATCGGTTCCTTTGATAAATTTATTACAAGATATTTTAAAAACTTATTCTAGATTGATTAAGAGCTCACTATGAATCTATAAGAGTCAATCTGTTCACTTAAATTTGGGTTTTTGAACACTTCCAATGAAGACCAGATTAATGTAGTTCACATCAAACTCCTGCTTCCTGTTTCATTTGACTGTGTCAAAAATTTAGAATATTTTTGCTCTCTCGCTTTCAGCATTAGATGAAATTGTATCACCAAATTTTAGTTCATTTGTCTTACTCTATGAATGTGGGAGTCTTAACTTCGGAATAGTGAGTTGAAGAATATGTTTCACAAACATGGCTGTACAGAAAAAGAAAATTTGAGCAAAACATGGGGGTCTGGGATTAAGTACTTTTGATTTGCACATGGATCGTGTTGATGTAATGTATTAGAGACGCGTGGTTCATTGAACTAGAGGTTCACATTTGCATAATTATAGGATCTTGTTAGACCACTAGGCTGTTCTTAAACCTACTTCATCACTCTTTTTATTGGGTGTTGTGAAATGAAACTATCTATAAAATCACACTTTAATGAAATAGCAGCATTTAAGTGCTATCTTAATGCTCTAAGCTTAGTAACATGGCACATATGGGAGAGAGATTCTCCTTTTTCAATCACCGTTGCTTTTAAATATTTAAGATAAGGTGTTTTACCTTCTCCCTTCCATTTTTTTTTTCTCCATTAGTGGACTTTGTGTGAGAGATTCCACTACTACCATATATATACGAGGATAAATGCGAGAAAATATAAAAGAGCATAAAAAAGAAGAAGAAGAAAACTTTAACATGGATAACTATATTATTATCAATTTTTCTTTCATTTTATGAGTATTTGTATACCATTTTTTTTTTAAATCTAACATTTAAATATAAATTAGAATGTTAGCTTAAATATTGGTTAGAGTCTTTAGATTAATTTAACATTATTTTAATAAAAAATTTCATAATGTGGGATCAAAATTTGAAGAAAAATTTGATTTTTTTTATATTATATAAAAGTTCGTATTTTAGTTGTTGAGTCTTGGAAAAATGTATGTTAAACAAATTTTAGTTTGATTTGAAAAAATATTGGTATAAACCAAAGTTGTTGAGGTGTAAAGATCGGTCAAAGATAGGGAACTTCCTCGTAAGTTCCTGGTCAAAGGAAGGCTACTTCCTTGCAACTTCCTGGTCAAAGGAAGGGAGTTTCCTCTCAACTTCCTCTCAAGAAGGATTTGTTTGGCTATAAATACCTCATTTTGTAACCTCATTTGTATCCAATCCAAGTGTGAAGAAAGAGTAGAGAGAGTGTATTCATACGGGCTTGTGTGAGTTGTAACATTCGGTTTATCCTCTTATTCTAGTTCATTCTCCTAGCTTGGTTCGCCCCCGGATGTAGGATTTAATCCGAACTGGGTTAACAAATATTCGTGTCTTTTATTGATCTCACATTGGTGTATTATTATTATTCCATCTTATCCGACCTTATTTCCCAACAACCGGTATCGAGCCGGGAGGTTGGAGATAAGATGGAGGGAAAGATTCAAGTCGAACGGTTCAATGGTTCCGACTTTGGATTCCGCGAATGCAAATGGAGGCTTACCCGTACGGAAGGACCTCTACGCACCTCTTGGGGAAAAACCCGAGAAGATGAGCGATGATGAATGGAAGGTGCTCGATCGGAAGGCGATGAGTGCTATAATTCTTTCGCTCTCTCGAACGTCGCCTACCATGTGAAGGGAGCAAAAGCACGAAGGAGGTCTTGCGGATACTCGCCGACATGTATGAAAAACCATCAGCAATAAACAAGGTGATGCCGATGAAAAAGCCGTTCAAATTGCAAATGGAGGAGCGAAAGTCGGTGGCCGATCATCTCAACGATTTCAACCAACTCACTACGCAGTTGGCATCGGTGGATATTTCGTTTGATGATGAGGTAAAAGCCCTAATCTTGCTCTCATCATTGCTCGGACAGTTGGGACGTGGTCGTTACTTCGGTGAGCACTTCTTCCGGCAAGGAGAAGATGAAGTTCGACAACATAAGAGATATGATGTTGAATGAGGAGACCCGCAGAAATCGAGCGGGTGGGTCGTCCGGCTCAGCCCTACATACGAGTCCGGAGGGAGACCCGAAACACGAGGGAAAATCCGTGGGAGGTCAAAATCCAGGGGAAGGAATAAAGGCAAGAAAGAGATGGTGTGTTGGAACCGCGAGAAGCCCGGGCATATGAAAAGCGAATGCCGGGCACCAAGGAAAGACAAAGAAGGTCGGACAGCCAATGCCGTGACGGAGGACACGGCGGATGCACTCTTGTTGAGTGTGAGAAGCTCGCTCGATGACCGGATCGTGGACTCGGGGGCCTCATTTCACTCATGCAAGTAGCAGAGACATCATGGAGCCATACACCGCAGGTGATTTTGGCTTGGTATATCTTGCGGACAACAAATCCCTAAAAATTGTAGGGAAGGGAGATGTGCGGATCAAGTCCACAAATGGGTCATGCTTGGACCCTACGTGATGTGAGACACATTCCAGGACCGAAGAGGAATCTCATCTCGCTTGGACAACTGGACAATGACGGCTTCCACACAATGTTTGGAGACGGAAAGTGGAAGGTCGGCCGAGGAGCTATGACTTTGGCAAGAGGGTCGAAGTCGTGAACGCTTTACACGGCGAGTAGATCCAGCTCAAACATTCTCCCGGCAGGAGTTGTCTCACAATCGCACTTATGGCACGAGTCGCTTGGGCCACATGAGCGAAAAAGGAATGAAGGTACTAAAGTCGAGAGGACTTTTGCCCGAGTTGGAGTCGGTGGACGTGGGTCTCTGCGAGCAATGCGTGCTTGGAAAGCGTAAGCGAGTGAGCTTCATAACCACCGGAAGAGCTCCAAAGACGAAAAACCGGAGCTAGTGCACACCGACTTATGGGGGCCAAGCACCGGTGACATCTCTTGGAGGATCGATGTACTACATGACGTTCGTCGATGATCGCACAAGAAAGGTATGGGTGTACTTTCCGAAAAGAAAATCCGAAGCCTTTGATACTTTCGGGAGATGGAGAGCACTCGTGGAGAAAGAGACAGTGTCGGAAGTGAAATGTCTCGGATCCGACAACGGTGGCGAGTACAACAGTTGAAGCCATCAAAGAATACTCGCGCCGATCATGGGATCCGGATGCGTAAGACGGTCCCTGTGGACACCTCAACAAAATGGCATTGCGGAGAGGATGAACAGTAACACCGAATGAGCGTGCGAGATGCATGCGATTGAAGAGTGGACCGCCCAAGATGTTTTGGGCGTAGCGGCCAAGCACGGCCGCTTTCTTGATCAACCGGGGCCTTCTGTCCCATCGAACAACAAAATTCCGGAAGAGGTCCGGAGTGGTAAGAAAGTTGATCTCTCTTTCTTACGTACCTTTGGTTGTT